AGGGTTTAGGGCTAGGGTTTAGGTTTTAGGGTTTTAGGGTTTTAGGGTTTTGGGTTTTAGGGTTTTAGGGTTTTGGGCTTTTAGGGATTTAGGGTTTCAGGGTTCCAGGGTTTAGGGTATGATGCGAAGCCCGGCATGCTTGAAATGACTCCAAAAACTTGCAAAAAGAAGAGACTACTTATACTGTACAGTTGCGAATTTCTTTTAGGGTTTAGGGTTTAGGGTTTAGGGTTTAGGGTTTTGCCTAACCCGAAGCCTCAGTCTTTCCTAACGCCTGCGCCTAAAGATGACCAACGTGTCGTACTCAAACATGTCACTGCTGGGAAGCCGAGCTGATTCAGAACCTCCAGCTTCTTGTCGCAGTCGGAAAAGGCCCTTCAAGCGACTCAAGTCATGGCTTGAGTGTCTTGGGTCTACAGCTTCGAGCTTGGGTCAGTGGATTCCGTTTTCAGTTCATAGGAACCCTAACAAAATAAGTAAAAACCTAAAACATAAGTAGGAACCTTATCGAAAGTACGACGACACCTATACAAATTAAGGACCCATACATCAGAACCCTTGAAAGGAGGTTGGGGACCATATACAGGGCCCATGTAACTGCCCTTAGACTGAAGCCATACCAGGCCACCGAACCACTATGCCTGCCGTCGCAGGAAGCCCTGAGCCCGAAAACCTCGAAAAACCCACAACTTTGAGGGGTTTAGGGTTTCAGGGTTGGGGGTTTAGGGTTTAGGGTGTAGGATTTAAGAAACACCACAGCCGTAAACCCGTAATCCTGAACCCCAATCCCTTGACTCGCGGAAGGAACCTTGACAGTGAAGACCCGAAGCCTAAGGACCTTGTAGACCCTGTAACCCCAAACCCCTAAACCCAAAATACCTAGGGTCAAAAGGTTTAGGGTAGATCCTCTTTGATCAGTTCGTGCTAATTACGACTGCCTAAACACCCTCAGCCCATAGTAGCACCCAAGCCCTCCAAACAGACAAACTCTGCTTGGGCACACACCTTGAAGCTCCAACAACCCTAAACCCTAAACCCTAAACCCCAAACCGTAAACCGCAAACCGTAAACTGTAACCCTAAACCCTAAATCGCAACAAGAGGCACCAACAGGCTTTGAATGCTTTCACGGGTTTGTTTGGGAACCGAACCCGCTTAAGTTGAAGGGAATCCGAGCCCACTCTGAATTTCAGAATTCGGTAGGCTTCTTATTGGCCTTATTTGGGGCTTCTTGGCGCTAAGGTAGGACCCTGCACACGGAACCCTCAACCCCATCCAGTGGGGTTTGTATGGGGGTCGGGCTCAAGGACCTAGGACTCAGGAGCTTAGGGTCACGTATGAGATTTCTCTCACACTTCAGCCGCTTGCAGTTCCCAAGAACGCCAACAAAGGCGAATGCCAACCGGGGCGCTACCGAGCTGTGCAGCCCCAACAGAAACTCCCCGCGTGCAGTTGTCGCAAACATCCAGATCAGAGCAGGGTCGAGGGTCGCAAGCAGGAACAGAAGCGCTGCTGTCGACGAACTGACTGGATCTGGCAGTGATTTTCTTGATGAGCCCCTGGTCATGGAAGACGACGGCGCCCCCGTGCTGCCCTGGATCCTGAAAATGACTTCGGGGGTTGCTTTTTGACAGAGGGGCGGGAGGGGGGGGGGGGGGCGGGGCAGCTTCAGGGCAACCGCAACAGTACATAGGACCGTAGGGGTACAACGGGAATTGCATCGGGTTTTTTGGATTAAACCCTAAACTAAACCCTAAACCCTAGACCCTAAACCCTAAACCCTAAACCCTAAACCCCAAACCCTAAACCCTAAACTCTAAACCCTAAACCGCGTGAACACCAGCTCTCCCACCACGGCCTCAGCTCGCTTTCACGAAAGCCCGGTAGACCCGGCACGTCGCTGAGCTTGTGGAAGGTCAGCGGCTGCGCCTGCCAAGCTCGCACTCCTAGGACTTGTAAATGCATATACAGGTATAAACAAAATACGAACAATGTGTGCATATATGTATGTATATTTTTACCAACAGATACATATATATATATATATATATACATATTTCTATATTTATTTGTTGATTTATTTATCTATTTATTTATTTACGCACATAAGAAAGAGAGGGTTTAGGGCTAACTCCTATAGGACTTATACATCAATATACACGCATAAGTATACAATGCGTGAAAAGGTCAAAAGAAATATATATATATATATATATATTTATATTTATATAGCTACCATATATACGTCTATAAGAAAGAGAGAGTTTAGGGTTGAGGGCTTAAGGTTTGACAGCCCCTCCGCCCTCCCCCCCCCCCCACCCCCGCCCACCCAAGAAGTTAAGGGATTCGGTACCTTGTATAAGACTCCTACTAAGAGGTACTGGGATCCCAGGGCGAAGCAGCACGTTGCTTGCTTCTTGAAGGGTTTAGGGTTTAGGGTTTGGGGTTTAGGGTTTAGGTCGTATAGAGGAAGAAGGGTAGAGGAACCCATGTCTCCAAAACCCTAAACCCTAAACCTAAACTACGATGGAGCGGAGTGAGTGGCCTAGCCTTTTGCGCCACGGTCTGGGGGTCCAAATGAGCAGCCAAATGTGTCGTTGCTGCAAAGCCGGGCAGCACGATTCTCTTGCCCTTTCAACCCTAAACCCTAAACCCCATGTTCCCACCATGCCACAAGGTCAGAATCATCCTCCAGCCGCGTCGTCGCTAAGCTGCTAAACAGATTTCTAAACCCAAGAGGAACCGAGGAATAAAACGGGTACCCTTTTTGGGGTAAACCTAAAAACAGGGAATAGGGGTCTAAGGGGTTTAGGGTTTAGGGTTTAGGGTTTAGGGTTTAGGGTTTAGGGTTTAGGGTTTGAACAAGCAGGGTACTCTTTTGGTGTTAAAGGGGCTCGAGCCTACTCCGAGTCCTGGATTTGGTCAGGGTTCAGGGCTTCCCCATCCTGCGGCAGTCCATCTTGCTCGCAGGGAATTGCCGCGGTTTAGGGTTTAGGGTTTAGGGTTTAGGGTTTAGGGTTTAGGGCTTAGGGTTTAGGGTTTAGGGCTTAGGGTTTAGAGCCACATTCTCATTTCATTGGGGGGGGGGGGGGGGTTGTGTGTCTTTTTTGTGGTTCTAGGGGGATTCAGATACTCGAAAGGCTCGATTCCGGTCAAGAAGACCGACCAAAGACCTGCAACATGCCCAGCACCCTAAGGCCTAGGTTGCCCAGTAACCTAGGATGAAAAAGGCTACCCTTTTTTGCTTAAAGGTGTTAATAAGGGAACCTAAACCCCCCCAAAAAGGGAATAAGGGCACTACTGGGCATCCTAGAAGCCCTGACATCCTTCAAACAAACCCTTAGTTGCTGAATTCATAGGCCCCCCAACAAGTGTACACTTTCAGTTCTACTATAGGTTGATGACAGCATCCCAAAAGTGTACTCCTTCAGCTACTAAGAGCCTAAGGCCCTGAACCCTACAACCTAAAACTTCAAAACCCCGTAAGCCCCAAACCACCAAAGCCTTAGACCCTAAACTCCAAACCCCGAAGCCGGAACCCTAAACCTTAGACCCGGAACACTGAACCCTGAACCCTAAACCCTGAACCTGAAACCCTAAACCCTAAACCCTAAACCTTGAACCCTAAACCCTAAACCCCAAACCCCCAAGCCCTGAACCCGAGACTCCCCAACCGGGGACCTTTTGCAACTCACTGCACATGACTTTGAGCTCCAAACCTTGGGTCGGCGGGAACGGGTCCCTAAACCCTAAACCCTAAACCCTAAACCCTAAACCCTAAACCCTAAACCCTAAACCCTAAACCCTAAACCCTAAACCCTAAACCCTAAACCCTATGTTTATGCGCTTCAAGGGTCGAACCTAGTTGAAGACTCTTCCCGTTGCTCAGGCTTTAGGGTTCTCGGGTTAAGGGTCACTGGTCGGCTCACCGGCTAGACCAGAAGCCCTAAACCCAAATAACCCAAATAACCCAAAATAGCCCCCAAACAAACCTCAGTAACCCTGAGCCCGAAGCCCCTAAACCCTCAACCCTGAAACCAACCTACCCCCTAAGGTCTGTAGGCTTTTGGGTGAGCTACAAAGGCACAACAGTTATAAATAACAGTAATTAAATGTACATATATGTGTATATATATACATAAACTTACTAATAATGAGAAGAACAAATATTACATATACATATACATATATATATATATATGTAGAGCGTGGAGTTTGGAGAGTTCGTTGCAGAACCCTAAACTTCCAATCGCGTGGAGTCGGCATGGGCCGCCCAAAACGAACGAGTTTAGGGTTCAGAGTGGGTTCATGGTCATAAATCCTGGGGTTATCAGTCACCAGTCACCAGGACCCGTGGTCGCCCCCCTCCCCCCCTTACGCAGGGCCGACCCCATGCATTGGCCGCAAACCCTAAACCCGAAATAAACCCTAAACCCTAAACCCTAGAACCTAAGCCCTAAACCCTAAACCCCAAACCCTGAACCCTGACCTCAAGCCCAACAGCCACTGGACGCTGAAGCACCCGGACACGTGTCTTTGTCGACTCGGCGTCGCAACCAAAGGTCCAACATTACCAAGACCCCACCAAGTACCCTTGTTCAGGGTTTAGGGTTTAGGGTTAGGGTTCAGGGTTCAGGGTTCAGGGTTCAGGGTTTGGGGTTTGGGGTTAGGATTTAGGGAAGATACCCTCAATACCCCCCCCCCCTCGCTTAAGGTACACTAAGGCCCTGATTAAGGGGGTACTCGGGGGGGTCCGGGTAGCTTGCATAAGCCTGCCAAGCATCCTTATAAACATCTTCAGCACTCCGAAGGGTCTAGCGTCCCAAAGGCACCAAAACCTTAACGCCTTGAACTACGAACCCTAGCATCTCAGCCAGAAACAGGGGACCCCTCACCACCCCTAAACTTATTCAACGCGCACGAGGCGAACACTTTCTGCGCCATTCCATGGGTCAATCGATGTCCATCCCGCCTCCCCACTATGAGCAAACACGTGAGGCGTCACTGCTTCTTCTCGCGCTGCTCCGGCCACCACATTGGTCCCACACTCAGAAGCAGGACGCCGATATTGAAGAGCACGTTCACTGGATTGCCCGAGGCTACGGACCCAGTGCTGTCGAGGCAGAACCAGCAGCACAGGCCACCGACCACCGCCTGTCGTGTCTCTTCGGGCGCCTTGTCGTAGACCTTGCTTGCGAGGAAGTGAAGGGTCATGCCCCAACCGAAGAGAAATCCGCCGGTGAGTGCGGACAAGAAGCGCGTCGTCGGGTCTCTGAAGCTCATGGTGCCAAACTTCCATGCCAGGAGGTCCAGGGTGAAACGGGCAGGCGCGGAGTAGGGCTCCATGGTCGCCAAGGTGGCGACAGGGCCGAAGGACCCGACCACGAAGGCTGAGACCTGCATCCACGACTTGTGGGAGATGCCCGACGGAGATAATGCCATTCTGTGCGCGCCGCGAGGCTGGGAGTTTATCAAGAGACAGTTGCTTTCTGAGCTTGACGGAAGGGCGCGAGGGCCAGGGCTCACGCTGCTGTCTCGGCCGTGAAACTCTTTGAAGAGCAACAACTGTTGCCGCTACGACCGGGGCTTGATCCTAAGCTCTTGCGAAGCATGTCTCAACTACTTACTTCTCCAATAAACAAGGAATTGAAAAAAAAGTTAAGCTTTCTTTTTGCACCCACACGTCCCTAAACCCTAAACCCTAAACCCGAAACTCTTAGCAAAGTAAGGCTATACCTCAACCCTACCCTAAACACCACCAGAGATCTAGGGGTTGTACCTTGGACCCTTGATGTTGTCCCCTTGGGTTTAGTGTTTCCAACATTGAGGGGGACCTTTAGGGGCACAACCTTACCCAGACCCTGAGAGGATCCAAAAGGCAGAACCCCCAAATCATACCCTATACTGAGTACTATTGGGTCATTTTTAGGAGCCTTTCCCTAAACCCTACGTAAACTCTAAACCCTAAACCCTAAAACCCTTAAAGGGATCTACGTTTAGGATCCTCCCAAGGGGTCTGGGTGGGGTCTTCGTCTCTTGGTGAGGCAAACTCACGGGCAGATTCGAAGCCGGGTTCCCCGCGGAAGCCTGTGCCTGAGCTCCAGACAGTTTAGGGTTAGGGTTAGAGTTTAGGGTTTAGGGTTTAGGGCTTAGGGGTTAGGGTTTAAGGTTTAGGGTTTAGGGATTAGGGTTTATGGTTGAGGGCTTCGGGTTTAGGATTACCGGGATTGGGGCTTAGGGTTCTTCGGTCTTGTTTCGGGTTGGGGTCTCTGATTTAATCGGAGGCTGATGGGAGATAAACAAATTCTTGGAGACTTCCTGGCTGAGTTTTCAAGGCTCCCCGAAAGCCTAAACCCGAAACCCCAAACCCTAAACGCTAAACCCTAAACCCTAAACCCCAAACCCTAAACCCCACGTAGCTTACACCTGAAAACGTTAAACTGTAAACTCCGGGAAGGCCAAAACCCAAACTCGAAACTCAGCACCTGTGGTGGAGGATTGAGGGTTCAGGGCTCAGGAATCAGGGGTTCAGGGTTTAGGGTGGAGGATTGAGGGTTCTGGTGGTCGGTCAAATACAGGGGGCTTCGAAATTAGAACAGACTTGTGGTGGGGGGGGGGGGTAATTAGAATAGGCTTGTTTTTTTGTAATACTCCTTTTTTTTTTGGGGGGGGGGGGGTATATGTACCAGTATCATCGTACAGGGACCATAGGGAACACTATTCGTAGTCTTCCTCTGTTTAGAATAAGGTTTTGCTTGGGGGAGGGGGGGGGGGGGGGGGGTGGTATTCTAGTATAACTATACAGCGACCATAAGGGATACTAATCAGATTTATTCCGACCCCTTTGTTGAATTCGGGGCCCTGGCGCGGCAAGTTAGGCGAGGGTTTGAGGTTATAGGAAAAGGTTTAGGAAGTTTAGGAAGTTTAGGGTGTATAGGGTTTATAGGGTTTATAGGGTTTATAGGGTTTATAGGGTTTATAGGGTTTATGGGGTTTATAGGGTTTATAGGGTTTATGGGGTTTATAGAGTTTATAGGGTTTATAGGGTTTAGAGGGTTTATAGGCTTCATAGGGTTTATAGGGTTTACAGGGTTCATAGGGTTTATAGGGTTTAGGGCTTTGGGCTAGGTCGGCCCTAAAACATATTCCTGATTTTTACGCTCCTAAACCCGATGGGGGAACATACAAAAATGTCCCAAGGCCAGGAAAGATTAGGGCTTGGCCCGTGAAGAGAACCCACACAGCTAGGAGGACTTTCTCGGCTTGCCTCACCACACCAATTAGTACCAGAAATCTTCGAAGCTTCGCAAAAAACAGCCCTAAACCCTAAACCCTAAACCCCAAACCCCAAACCCTAAACCCCAAACCCCAAACCCTAAACCCTAAACCCTAAACCCCAAGCCAAATGCGTGCCCCTTTCGCTTGACAACCTAAAGACCGCAGAGATTGGGCGTTAAAGGCTCAAGGAGATGCGCGGTTGGTTGGTTTTTAGAAGGGTTTAGGGTTTAGGGTTTAGGGTTTAGGGTTTAGGGTTTAGGGTTTAGGGTTTAGGGTTTAGGGGTTAGGGGTTAGGGGTCAGGGTTACAAGGGAACCCGGAACCCCAAAACAGGCAACAGGCTACCACTGGGCTAATTTAGGGGCCTTAATATGAGGGGTTTTTGTAGTTCATTGATATAGGGGCCATAAGGGAAAACTATTTTTATTTCTTCCGACCCCCCCCCCCCCCCCCCCTGTTACCATGTTCTGTGGGAACCTACTTTTGGAAGCAACCCGCAACATACGCCCCGTCGAGTCCGCGGCGGCTGAAGGATGGGTCGTCGGTAATGTTCGAGGTGAACATGTCCAGAGGAACCTCGCTCACTTGGAGGTTCATGGTACTTACTAACTGTACCTAGAAGTGTACTTGTGGCCATAGTAGGCCCCTTAAGGGGCTTGTAACGGGGCTATATATGCAGTTATAACTGGCTCATAAGCACCATGAACCTCCAAGCAGCTGTGGTGTGGCTGGGTAGGTCTTATAGCGACTTGTTAATGGTGCTTGCTGCAGCTGCACAGGCCCTTCTGCATGCGAGCATGCGCACAAGGAAATTGCTTACACAGAGCGGTTGTTTAGAGGGTTAGGGTTTAGGGTTTAGGGTTCGTCGTTTTAGTGCTGAGGTGTAGAAGCCCGAAGCCCTAACTTTGACGCCTGTCGCATGCCCTCGGTGAAGGGGTGTTGGGCATAGGGCCCTTCATGTACTGTCGTGTTCCTTGCAAACCCAAACACGCCCCCTCAAAACATCAAACCAGAATAAACAAATCCTACAGGTCCTAAACCGAATTTCTGCACTAAGCTCTCATATCCCTACGGCTTAGGGACTCAGCTCTATGAGCCTCAGGCATCACTTGTGGGGGATCCCAGAACTCTCAAAACCCACAACCCGAAACCCTGCCTGAAGAAGCCAAGGCTTACTATGCCAAGAACCCTGCATGAAGGGCTTGAAAGCAGCTACAATGACACCAAGCTTTTGGGGTTCCGAAGAGTAGGCCAGATGCTCGTGATTGTTTGGCTTCAGAGCTTCGGACTCCGACATTGTTGGGGCTTCAGTAGGGTCTCTTATGGCTGCTTCAGGGGGATTATAGGGTTTAGGTTTAGCATCGCTTCAGGCTTCCCTGAACCCTAAACCCTAGACCCTAAACCCTAAACCCTAAACCGAAACCCTAAGCCCTAAACCCTAAACCCGAGCCTACACCCTGACGAGGACGCCTTGAGACGTTTCGCCAGAAGATGCTCGAAGCTGCTGGCAGCCACCTTCAGCCGGGCTGGATTTCAGGTGCGTGTGGGGATCTGAGGCTGCCCTAAACCCTAAGCCCTAAACCCTAAGCCCTAAACCCTAAACCTCTAAACCCCTAAACCCTATACCCTCAACTCTAAACCCTAAGCCCTAAGCCCTAAGCCTTAAACCCTAAACACTAAACCCCAAACCGCAAACCCAGCACGGCTCACGGCTATGTGTTGGGTTCTAAGGCTTCGTGACGAGGGCTTGGAAGAGGCTCTGGGAAAGACCTCCTGTGTGAGGGACTCGGTCCTTAAGGTCACTAAAGCTTTCGGGTTTAGGGTTTAGGTTTAGGATTTAGGGTTTAGGGATTTGGGTTTAGGGTTTATGGCATGGGGGTTCAGGGAAAGCCCTGTTTAAACCAACCACGGCCCAAAACAACCAAAAACCTTATACAAGCACCCTTAAGGGGCCATTGTAGACCAGGGCAGGGATCCAGCAAAGGCGACGGCCCCCAGAAATTGATCATCGGGCGCTAGATGCGTAAGAAGAACTAAACAGGGTGGTTTGAACACCCCAACCTTTCCCAGGCCAGCCTTGAACCTAGGCCGTTCATGTGTTCACAGAATGCTAGCTCATTTCGCTCTCTTCGTTCTCTCATTTTCTTCGCCCTCCAAAGCCCTATGAAAATAATGAGGATGTTGAAGCATTCGCTCCTTGACTTTCCTGGCTTTGTCAATGGTGGATTTCCTGTTCGTCTGCCAGGCGAAAGCAAGCTCACCTTCATTATAGTCTATTTTCAAGGGCTCTTGTCACTGGATTCCTGACGTGGAGGTGCTTGAGGCAAAGTCTTATAGGAACGCAAAAGGAGTCGTTTGGTTCCTCGCCGCGAACATTCCTGTCGCGTAGACAGGCTCCACCCTAGATCTGCAGCTGATTTTAGGGTAGTTACATGGTCTCTGAATATGGGCCCTTGAAAGGGGGACCCTTATGTAGTCAGAACCCTTTAAGGAGGCTAAGGGACCATGTTATTGCTTCTTGAAACCCTTAGAGCTGAGAGCAACTTCCACCCTAGTTCACGGATGTTTTGTTTTTGACCAAACCTTTAGAAGCCATAAGCCGGATCATTGGTATGTTTCCTACGCCAAGTTCGCACAACATTAAAGGACTCATGAACCCTAAGCGTCCATGTACCTATATAGCATATACTTGGGATTGAGAGGTGGAAACATATAGTAGCTTGAGGGCCCAAGTATATACTATACATTTACATGGACCCTTTGCGTGAGCCAACCCTCGGACCCAAGCGCCAGCCTAAATCTGAAGCAACTACCCTCGCGACCAGGTAAGAAAGAGTTTGCACCCTAAACCCTTAACCCTAAACCCTACACCCCTGAATGATCCAAAAGGTTTGAAGGGATTTAGGGAAGTTTATAGCGTTTGGGTTTAGGATTTATATAGGGTCTCGGGTTTAGGGTTTAGGGCTTGGAATTTCAAGCTTAGCTTGAAGTTTGGAGTCTGACTTTATGGTTTCGCGCTGAGATCCATGAAAGCAACCTTGAACCCTCAACCCTAAACCCTAAACAGGCCCTAAACCCTAAACCCTAGCATCCTACACCCCCTAACCCTAAAACCCTAAACCCTAAACCCTAGAACCCTAAACCCAACCGCAGGGAACCTCCAGGCCGCGCGTGGCATCTGCGGCAGCAAAGTCGCTGAAGTCGTGGAGGCCCTCCACCTCAGTCTAGGTTGCCCAGTAACCTAGGATGAAAAAGGGTGCCCTTTTTTGCTTAAAGGGGCTTATAAGGGAACCTAAACCTACCAAAAAGGGAATAAGGGTTACTACTGGGCATCCTAGCAGTGCTTTTGCTTCGGGGCTTAGGGTTTAGGGTTGGGATGTTTCCCCCCCTTATACGAAGAGACCTTTCTTGGGATTATAATACCCCCCCGATGATGCTCCCTGGTAAGGCATCTGTTAGTATAAGGGAGAACATCCCTTATCGGCTATTATCAGGGGGAACATCCCCCATTATGCTCCCTAGTAGGGAATCTGCTATTATAAGGAGGAACATCCCAAGTTTTGGGGTTAAGGGTTTTAGGGTTTCGGGCAGCCTGACGATGCAAAGGAGCTGCAGCCGGGGGGAGGGGGGGGAGTTGAGGGCTTCGGGTTTAGGGTTTCAGGCTTTAGGGTTTAGGGTTTAGGGTTTAGGGTTTAGGGACACAAGCTGCCTTGGGCTTGCATCAGTTGGGGGGGGGGGGGGGGGGGCGTGCGTTAGTTCGGGGTGCTTGTGGCCCACTTTGCGAGGACTTCGGGGCTTCTGATGTTCGGGTTTGCAGGCTTTAAATTTAGGATTTTAGGGCTTTAGCTTTTGGGGTTTTAGGGATTTAGGGTTTAGGGTGTTAGGGTGTTAGGGTTTTGGGGTTTTAGGGTTTTGGGGTTTTGGGGTTTTAGGGTTTTAGGGTTTTGGGGTTTTGGGGTTTTAGGGTTTTAGGGTTTTAGGGTTTTAGGGTTTTTGGGGTTTAGGGTGTTAGGGTTTTAGGGTTTTAGGGTTTAGGGTTTTATGGTTCAGAGTTTGAGAAAGGGCCTGTGATTCGGAGCTGAGTCGACTTGCCCGGACAATCCTGCTACGAACCCCGTGCGCGCGCAAAGAACAATTTAGGGTTCAGGGTTTAGGGTTTAGGGTCTAGGGTTTAGGGTGTAGGGTGTAGGGTTTAGGGTTTAGGGTTTAGGGTTTAGGGTTTAGGGTTTAGGGGAAGCTCTGAATGTTACCAAGGCTCGGAGAGCCTCAGAGACCTTGTGCTGAGCTTCGGGCATTCAGCCGAGCGACCACCTCATGCATGAGCTCCTGACGGCTCCTAAACCACCTAATTTAGGAGCTTGAACAGTTTGCTTTTTTTTGGGGGCGTCCTTATAGAGTAACTCTAAAGGTAGGCTCCTAAACCACCTACTCTAGGAGCCTCAACAGTTAGTTTTTTTTGGGGGGGGGCGTCCTTAGAGAGTAACTATAAAGGGGCCATAAGGGAATGCTACTCGTAATCGGCTTCCACAACACCTAGAAGACCTAAGGGCCTTTGGGGCAACAGGTCGTGGTGGCCCAGTACCCACCATATTTAAAACAAGGGTACCCGTTTCGGGGTTGGTTACTTTATAGAACCAACAAGAAGTGGGGCTAAAGGGTCCCACTGGGCTGCCAAGAGGTAATATGGGGGCCTAAATGATGGGTTTTTTAGGGACCATAAAGGGATGCTATTAGTAATTTTTCCGACTCCTAAGAAACCTTAAGTTCCCAAAGCCCTAACCCCTAAAGCCAAACCCTAAGCTGTGAAGCCAAGGCAACCCATACCCCGCAGCTGTGCCTTTTAGGGTTTAGGGTGTGGGTTTCGGGTTTGGGGCTTCAGGGCTTTGGGCTTAGGGTTTAGGGTGTGGGTTTAGGGTTTCAGAGCTCAGGGCGTTGGGTTTCGGGTTTAGGGTGCCTTTGAAGCACTTCCAATCTTGATAATCAAGGTTTCTGGAATGAAGCAACGTGAGAAAACGACTACTATCCGAATTTGCATCCACTTCGTACCCCAGCAACCATATTCTACTACGGGCCACCCTCTTTTTGGGTTGGGGGGAACCTTGAACCCCAAAAAAGGGAAAAGGGTACCCTAAACCCTAAACCCTAAACCCAAAACCCCAAAACCCTAAACCCTGAAACCTGAACCCTAAACCCTGAACCCTAAACCCTAAAAACAAGGGGAAAAGGGTATTACTGGGCTGCCAAGTCCAGGGAATGCTGCAAGTGTCCTTCGCAGGATCGAAGCAACGGGCCTCCTGGGCTGCTTGGGTTTAGGGTTTGGGGTTTGGGGTTTAGGGTTTGGGGTTTAGGGTTTAGGGTTTAGGGTTTTCAGGTGTAGGGTTTAGGGTTCAGGGTTTAGGGGTGTCGGTTGCAAAAACCCATAATAGGGGGTTTACGACAAAATAGGGCACCCCAACAATAGACCCCCCAAATAGTAGGATTCCCGGACCCTTTAGCAAGCGTATGACTATTGTTTGGCATTGAGAACCCGAAATATTGCCAACTACTGTTCCTGTGGGAATAACCTACAAAGAAAGCCCAAAACCCCCCAAAAAAACCTCACAAACCAAAGTTCTGCGCAAGTTTTGCAGGGCTTGGCACTTGGAGCCCTGAAGCCCTGATCCCTACCCCCTACACCCTAAGGCCTAAAACCCCCAAACCAAAACCTTAACATTCCCAGAGCCCTAGCTACCCACGAAAATCAAACCGAAGATCCTGCGCCTTGCACGAGTTGGGCACTAGCAGGCTGACACGACCGCTTTAGGGTTTAGGATTTAGGGTTTAGGGTTTAGGGTTTAGGGTTTAGGGTTTAGGGTTAAAGCTTCAGGATCTAAACTCTCAACCTCCGCAAGCACCGATTGAACCTACTTTCACCAACCAATAAATACCAAAGCTTTATGGATCTCAGACGCACTGCAACTCCAAACAGAGCACAATCAAACCCTAATTAAACAGCAGAAAGCCCTTATTAAACCCTTAACCCTTGGCCCTAAACCCAAACCCCAAACCCCAAACCCCAAACCCCAAACCCCAAACCCCAAACCCTAAACCCTTAAACCCTTAAACCCTTAAACCCTTAAACCCTTAAACCCTAAACCCTAAACCCCAAACCCTAAACCCTAAACCCTAAACCGTACCGAAACCCTAGTTAATAGCAAAACCCTTAACATCTTTCCCTGGCCGCGCGGCACTCCAGTGGCCTCCGGGGAGGCAGCGGATGCGCCCGGTTGGGTGGAGCCTGTGCCGCGGGTTTAGCGTTTAGGGTTTAGGGTTTAGGGTTTAGGGTTGAGGGTTGAGGGTTTAGATTTACAGTAGGGCTGAGGATTTACACTGTACCTTAATATGGAAGACTTGGGCCCTCCTATATCGGGACGCTTTGGCCCAAGTATACCAAGAATGAGGTACATGGACCCTTAGACTAAACCCTAAACCCTAAACCCTAAACCCGAAACCCGAAACCCCAAACCCTAAACCCTAAACCCTAAAACGGATTTAGGGTTTAGAGTTTGGAGATCGTAGGGGTGCAGCTTTGGGTTTAGCCTTCGACTCCGGGCTCTGATCGAGGTGGCTTACATGTGAATGGAGTTTAGTGTTTGGGGTTTAGAGTTGAGGTTTCGGGTTTAGGGTTTAGGGTTGAGGGTTTAGGGTTTAGGGTTTAGGGTTAGGGTACTAGTTGCACACCAAGGGTTTGAAATTCGGATAAAGGCTTCATTGCGCAACACGGTCAGCTGAGGGCATCCTCCCATGAGATCGATGAGGCGTTGAAAGAAGCATCTTTTGGGGTTTCAGGAGAAGGGTTTAGGGTGGTAACCAATGGCTCCTTGCCAAAAATCAGTAATAAGTAACACTTCCGGGGCAGCTCACAACAGCAGGAAGGCAAAGCATTTTGGCACCGCATCGAGGACAGCAGGCAACGTGAGCCAATGTCACTCTAGACTCTGAGCTACACCGTGTCACCAGCGCATGTGCAGCTGAACACACTTCTCAACGCAGGTCGAGAATCGAGATTGTGTTTTGGTCAGGATAGTGGCCTTCGTTTGGGGGATGTTCCCAAGCCTGAATCCTGCAAGCTCCGAAACCTTACGCCTCTCCGAGCTCTGCCAGCTCTTCTGCCAGCTGCTGTGCCGTACAGCGCCGGTCCTTCGTCGCCAGCGCGCTGCGTGCAGCTCCGCCCAGCCGCCTGCGCAGCCCCGCAGAGTCTTGGCAAAGGCGGAGCAACTCCTCCACCTCGGTGTTCCCCCCTGGTAGAACCATAAACCCTAAACCTTAAAAGCTAAACCCAAACTCTAAACCCTAAACCCTAAACCCTAAACCCTAAACCCTAAACCCTAAACCCTAAACCCTAAACCCTAAACCCTAAACCCTAAACCCTAAACCCTAAACCCTAAACCCTAACTGGAGGGACCTGGCCACTGCCTCCGGCTTCAAGGAGAAGTCGATGCCACCGGGACCATGGTTGGGGTGCTTCTGGATGTATCGGCCCCTGCAGACCTTCGTAGCCCAGGAACCATATGTAGGTTTAGGGTTTAGGGTTTAGGGTTTAGGGTTTAGGGTTTAGGGTTTAGGGTTTAGGGTTTAGGGTTTAGGGTTTAGGGTTTAGGGTTTAGGGTTTAGGGTTTAGGTTTAGGGTTGAGGGTTTAGGGTTTAGGGCTTAAGGTTGGGGTTCATATGGGGGCTTCCGATATTAGGGGTACCTTCTTGGGGTCCTTATTTGAGGTGTGAGGGAATCCTACTATTTTGGGGGGACTTTCTTAGGGCTCCCCCTTTTTTCGTAACCCCCCCCCCCCCCCCAGAATGCCATATGAACCACCAAGAAACAATCATCTCCGCCATCATGCACCCTGCTGCCCAGACATCGTCCAGGCTGTCAAAGCCTTCGCCGCGCCTTCTCTCCGGTGAGAAATACCAGGCCGGACCCACACCATGAACCTTGGCTGCACCCTAAACCCTAAACCCTAAACCCGTAAACCCCTAAACCCTAAACCCTAAACCCTAAATTACCTTTCTTCGCTGCAGTCAGGAGGGTAGCTATAAAATTAAGCTTTTTGCTGCCTTAATAAGAAACCCAATACACCCAAAAAAGGTAAGGATCTAAAGTTACAGTGAAGTACCACAAAGCTTTGGCCACCCCAACAGCTGGAGGATCCATACCCTATGAACCACCCCCCCCCCACAAAACAAAAACACATCGTAAGAGTAAGTAAACAAGAAAATTTAAGTAAACAAGCAACTAAGCAAACAAGTAAATAAGTAAATCAGTAAACCAGTAATGAGTAAATAAATACATGAAGAGCAAAATACTTAAGCTGTTCACAGGCTATGATGGTTCTGAAGTATGAAGGAGCCGCCATTGTAGCACGCTAGCACACGCACAAAACAAACAAGCATCGCGACTATATTTTTTGGGGGGGGTTAAGGTCGACTCTAAGAGGGATGATCCCTACGTGGGGGGGTTGAGTTATTCGGGTGTCCTGGTTTAGGGTCTGTAGGGTCTAGGGTCTAGGTTTTAGGGTTTAGGGTCTAGGGTTTAGGGTTTAGGAAACAAGAGTTCTGTGCACGGCAGGTTAGGATGGAGAGGAGCCGACATGACCTTCGGCTCCAGCGTTTCGTAGATCTTGGCCAGGCCGACGTCGATGATCTTCACGGAATCGGGCGCGGTTCGGGCGCTGCCCTGCGCGTCACGGGCGATGAGGACGTTCTCTGCGTGAAGGTCTCGGTGGGTCATCCCGATAGAATGCATGCAGGATAAGCCCCGAAACAGCTGCAGGAACCAACTCTGTACACTTTCCGCAGGGCATGGCTCAGCACTGGAATCTCGTATGAGCTTGTAGAGCTTCAGGGAATCAACATACTCTGTCACGATGTGCAGGATGCCTTGGTCTAGGAGAGAGGTGTGGTATCGGACCAGGTTGGGATGCGGCGGTAGGGCCGCCAAGTTTTCCAGCTCTCTTCGAAGGAAGGCCTCATCCTCCGTAAAGGGCTGGTAGATGGTCTTCACGGCGCACAGGCGCTGGTCTAAGAGGCATCTGCAACAGTGGACCACCCCGAAGCCACCGCTGCCGAGTGGCCCTGTACCGACCATCTCGTAGCCCGCTGGAATCCGAGCCTAGAGACAAGAGTAACCTAGGAATAAAAAAAGGGTACCCTTTTTGCTTTCGAGGGGCTTTTAAGGGAAGCCATCCCCTAGAAAAAAGGAAGCCAAACCCTATGAAGAAGGGAGTAAGGGCCCAGTCTGGGTCCTAGGAGCTCCTTTGACCTTCCTGGGCTCATCCGGCTTCTCCGTGTCAAGGGGACGCTTGCGCAAGGGCATCCAAAACACAGAGGCAGGGCTGCCCTCATCTTCAGTGCAAGCCATCTTTTCATCCTTAGTAATTAGCCCCGTAACCCTGTTACAATAAGGGCAGCCTTTTTTTTTTTTTTTGGGGGGGGGGGGGGTTGGTTACTTTATAAGGGGACCTTGAACCAAAAAAAAGGGTGAAGGGTACCACTGTGCTACCAAGCATCCGTTCGCAGGTAAAGGGAGCCACCGGTTGCCACAGAGTGCAGGGTGAAGCTTCCGATGTGCTCCGGACTGGCCAAGATCTCGAACCTGGCAAAGTCGTCTCTGCAATCGCCGAAGCGCACCGAAAGCAGGTGGTCATCCAGTCCATTCACGTGTAGGGGCCATCCAGATTCCAGGTGCACTAGGAAGAAGCTGCCCTCGGCGGTGGGCTCAAGGTGATAGTGGCAGTTGTCGTCGTGTGGATCGCCATCGCGAGCGTAGGCCAACTGGTCACCTAAGCCATCCACGCGCAGCGGTCGCTGAGTCAAGGAATGCACAAGGAAACAAGGCTGAAGAGCAAAGCTGACTTCAAGTCGAAAATGCGTAGTCTCAGCGTCGCCTTCGGCATACCGCGACGATGCCAGCTTGTCGCAAGACGCGTCGATGTGCAGTGGCCAGGTCATAGCCACATTTCGGATCACAACATCTGGGAAGGCCGGCGTAGCTTCGAACACGAACCTGGAAAAGTCATCCAGGCACTCTCCACAGCGCACCGAGGCCAACTTGTCTCCGAAACCATTGATGTGCAAAGGCATCTCCGTGGCAAAGTTGCGAATGAAAACCGCCTTCCCACCCGCCGGCTCGACCCAGAAAAGGGAGAAGTCGTCCCGACAATCTCCATACCGCACGGACGCAAGCTTGTCTCCCAAGCCATCAATATGGAGGGGGAGGCCCGAGCCAGCATGGATGAATCGAAACGTGGCCATGGGGACATGCACTGGTTTAGGGTTTCAGGGTTCAGGGTTCAGGGTTTAGGGTTTGGGGTTTAAGCGCTTCAATGGCTGCTTCAGCAACAGGAGTTGAAACTGCACTAGGACCTAAAGCCCAAACCTCTCCGACGTTCACATCCAGCTGCATGCGAGCGATGGTGAGTGCTCCTGTTCCTGGATGCAGAGCTTTTGCAAGTGCTTTGATTATGCTGTGTGTGCCGGGCCACGTCTGTTGCCACCTAACGAATACAGCCTAAACTTCAATCCCTCAACCCTAAGCCCTAAACCCTACCTGCTGAACCCAACTGCCTAAGCACCAAACTCGGAGACCTAACATCGAAACACTGACGAAGGAGCAGCTCACATACCCTTGAAGAAGGGGACAGGAGCGTTTAGCCGTGAAGCATACGAGAATGGCCTACTCTAGGTTGAGCCTCAAACAGCTTCCCATCAGAAACCAAAGCCTGCTCAATTTGGTAGGTTGCCGAAAAATCTTGAAATAGGTCTCATAGCACAAGCCTACCAACAAAAATAGGTTCTGGGTCTGGGTTGTTAAGCTGTCAAGGTAGACCTGAAAAATCCTACATGTTTGCCTCCAGCAACTGCCCCCCCCCCCCTCCCACTTGGGTTTCGGGTGCAGGGGTGTACTGTTCAGGAAGTTCAGGGGGCTGGGTTGCAGATTTTTACGGGTGCTGGTTGCACCTGCAGACCGGAAGCCCCCCTTTCCCCTACTACCCACAACCCCAAACCAAGTTGGGATTTCTGAACTCCGGTGTTGCAGAGGGATCCCATTGAGACCCCAAACTCCTGCCACATCTCTACCGGCGAAACGGCCGTGGCCCCAAACTCTTAGGGTAGTTACATGGCCCCTTAGTATGGGCACTTAAAAGGGGACCCCTTATTTTCCCCATACACATTAAGGGCCCAGAAGGTAAGGGACCATATCACAGGCGAATGAAACTACCCTTAGACAAACCCTAAACCCTAAACCCCCTAAATCCTAACCCCCTAAATCCTAAACCCCTAAACCCTATACCCTAAACCCTAAACCCCTAAATCCTAACCCCCTAAATCCTAAACCCCTAAACCCCTAAACCCTATACCCTAAACCCCTAAATCCTAAACCAAGATTCGACTCAGGGACTCAGGAACCCACCCAGGCTTGCAAACGACAGCGCAGGAATCTCCCACGCGTGTGCCAACCTTAGCTTGCTCGAGGGTACCAGGGTTTTGGGTTGGGGATTACCTAGAGACGGGAAAACCAGTCTAAGCCCTAAACCCTAAACCCTCAACCCTAAACCCTAGACCCCAAACCGTGGCCTGGGAGAAGCAGGGTTTGGGGAGAAGAACGCGGTTCCGGAAAGAAGGATCTAGCACGATGGTGTTTTGCGGGTTCCCGACGGGTATTTACCGGTTTCTGACAGGTTTTTACGGGATCACAAAGGCTGCCCAAAACCAGGTTTCCACGTTTTGTTAGGCTCTTGGTTCTCTAGGTAGGGGTTAGTGTTTGGGGTACCCTGAACAGAAGTGGGCCCCGCACCCATTAATAATTAAGAGGTATGGGGCTCATGCTGTTGGCATCCAGCCTGTGAATGCCATGACTTAGCGCTTAGGGCTTAGGGCCTAGGGCTTAGGGCTTAGGGCTCAGGGTTTAGAGCCCAACGCCGGGAGCCCTTCTTGCAAAAGAGGTGGTGGAGGTGACAATCGCTGCCAGTAGGGCCGCAGTCTTATAGCCATCATCGGATCGATACTTTGAGCTTAGTTCATCCGCCACACGCAGGGAAGGAACCTTCGGGGGATGCGTGGGGCAAACACCCTAAACCCTCAACCCTCAACCCTAAACCCTAAACCCGAAACCCCAAACCCTAACCCGAAACCCGAAAACCCGAAACCCTAAACCCTACAACCCGAACACTTGGGGTGGCCCAGTACACGGTGGTTTTGGTATGGTGTTAAATTGCATTATTCTGTGTGGCCAGGGCCCCTTCAAGGAAGGCTACTAAACCCAAGAGTAGCCTAGGAATAAAAACGGTTTAGGGTTTAGGGTTTAGGGCTTAGGGTTTAGGGTTTAGGCTTTAAGGTTTAGGGTTTAGAGTTTTGGGCTAGGAATAGAATGGTTGCCCTCTTTGGTTTAGGAAGAGCTTAGAAGACATGACCTGAACCATAAAAAAGAAAATAAGGGCCTACCCTGTATGCCAAGCTGTAACTTATGCGTGAGGTGACGCTCAAAAAACCCCATGCCCTAAACCTAAACCCTAAACCGTCCTGAGCGAGCAGCACAGTGCTCTAGCGAGATCGCGCCGCCAATGGCCTTGTTCATGCGAACCATCGGTTAGGGTTTAGGGTTTAGGGTCTAGGGTTTCGGGTTCAGGTTTAGAGTTTAGGGTTTAGGGTTTCGGGTTTAGGAAGATGGGTTTCGGGTTTCGGACCTTAAGCCATGCACCCCATGCACTAAACCCTACGCCCGCGATACAAACCAACATCAAAACCCTGCGATGCATGCTCTGATGCTCGCATGCGGGTTCGGTGGCTTCAGGTGGCAGTTGGCAGTTCCAAGTGCTAGGAGAGTTCCTGCGTACAGCTAGCATCAGCACGGAGAGATACAATGTAGACTTCCAAGCAGATATCGCAGAACCTGAGTAAAAGCATGCAGGCTCTTGAAGCAGTGGGGTTCGCACCTGCCAAGAGATCCATCTACCCTGGCTGTCTCCCAACAGCGCGCTTTTGTTGACTTGGGAGAGTCCAAAGACCCTCCCATCTCGGAACCACAAACTCTATGTTGACCGTACTTAAGCCCTAAACCCTAAACCCTAAACCCTAAACCCTAAACTGGAATCCCTGTTTCGAATTAGGAGTTAGGGTTCAGTGAGTTGGCAGCCTCCGTGGGAAGGTTGCAGTAGGCGGCGCACTCTGCTGATAGCCACACCTCGGCACAGCGCTGGGTTGACTAATGAGATGCCGTTTAGGGTTCAGGGTTTCGGGTTTAGGGTTTAGGGTTTAGGGTTTGGGGTTGGGGGTTTGGGGTTTGGGGTTTAGGGTTTAGGGTTTAGGGTTTAGGGTTTAGGGTTTAGGGGTCCACTGCCATGACCTCAGATTGTGCAGAAAAAGGGCGAGGGACATCCTATGTAATGCCGAAGGCAAGAGGACAGAACTCCTTTGGCATCGCCGGATTCTCCAGCAATCTTGCGTCTTCTTGCATAAAAAGCCCTTCGCACACTACCGTAGGTACTGACACATTGAGGGCAAAGCACTACCATGGGCACTCACACATGGAGAGGCAAAGATCTCAAAAGCCCGAGCAGCCTGAGTCCTCAGAAACATGAACAAGACCGACAGAGACTTTGCCTAAAAGTGGTCGAACTTGCTTTACACAGAACACCCCTGAGCCCTAAACCGGCTAAACCCTCAACGCTTCACCCCTTCCCCCAGCCTGGCTCTCTAAACAGCCCTCAACCTTTCTAGCTTCCAGTCTACACCTTGGAGCCCGACAACTTGGAGGGTAGACATGTGCCCAAAACCCCCAAAGCCTTAAATCGGAAGGCCTTCAAGCCTCGACCCTTAAACCCGCAACAAAAGAACCTACCACCTAAAAGCCTTGAACCCCGTAGACCCTACACCCTGCAACCCCTCAACCCCTAACTAAGTGAGGGCCGCAAGCTTAGGCTACGGCTCCGCGCTCGCAGCGCAGCTCAGACACCAACTGCGCCAAGCGGCTGGTGCTTGAGGGATTAGGGTTGAGGGTTTAGGGTTTAGGGTTGAGGGTTTAGGGTTTAGGGTTTAGGGTTGAGGGTTGAGGGTTGAGGGAAGCTGGATACGCGAGCCTTCAGTGATCACTTGAGAGGCTTGAAGGCTTTTTAGGTGCCTCTATGGTCGCTTTGATGGCTTCTGGCCTTTTTTTTGTGGGTTGGGGGATTGAATGGTTTGAAAAGCCTGAAGCCGCACAGAGAAACGCCCTAACCGTAAACCCTAAACCCCAAACCTTAAACCCTAAACCCTACAACGGCCCTAGAAACAGGTTAGCATAGGCGATCAGGAGGACTTGATCTGTTGGTGCTCGGAGCCCAAAGCCCGAAATCCTACACTCCCCACCCCCACCCTCCACAGGAAGGTTTAAGAACCCTAGACTGCCCTACACCAAGGTGAGGGGACCCCCGCCCTCCACAGGAACATTTAAGAACCTTAAACCCTAAACCCTAAACCCTAAACCTTAAACCCTAAACCCTAAACCCTAAACCCCAAACCCTAAACCCTAAACCCTAAACCCAAGCCCTGCACCAAGGTGAGGGTTGAGGCTCGCGGGCTTCTGATGCTTGGGCACTGCCTGAAATCCCGGCAGGCACTCCACCGGGCAGATCTCTCCCGATCTCAGCAAGCGATGACAGACAGTTTAGGGCTTAGGGTAGGGTTTAGTGGCTTTGGGGTTTAGGGCTTAGGGGTTTGAAGGCCGTGTGTGCGAGGTATAACCACCCGTTCGGGTTTAGGGTTTAGGGCCTTTTGGGCTCTTAGCCCTATTCAGGGGTACTAGGGGGATGCAGTACAAAACTCTATCGACTCGATTAAGCCCCTCAACTCGCACCCAAAACTCCCTCAACCCCCGCGAACCTCCTACTTGAACCCCCACCACCACCCAAGTCCCAGAAGCCACGAACCCTTCACCCTAAACCCTAAACCCTAAACCCTAAGCCCTAAACCCTAAGCCCTGAGCCCTAAGCCCTAAACCTCTCAACTTGTCCCAGCTGAGGTCCGCCACTTCCGTCCAGCACATGCTCGTGCGTCCTTGGCGTGGCGCACCTCAAGGCTCACCAAGCCTAAGGTTCAGAGTTTAGGGTTTAGGGTTTAGGGTTTAGGGTTTAGGGTTTAGGGTTTAGGGTTCAGGGTTTAGGGTTTAGGGTTCAGGGGTTAGGGGTTAGGGTTTAGGGTTTAGGGGTTAGGGTTTAGGGTTTAGGGTTTAGAGTTTAGGGTTTAGGGTTTAGTTTTCGGGCGTAGGGCCAGTGTGGGGTTCAGGGTTAAACAGAGGTAAGAGGTAGTCAGGTGGGATGAAAGTGTCCTGAAGCCCTTCCACCTCCACACCTTACACCCCTTTTCACCCCGCTTTTGAGAATATGACAACTCGGGCCTCGTGCTCCAGGCTAAGGTAGGGTTTTAAGCCCAAAGCCCCAAAGCCCCAAAGCCCCAAAGCCCCAAAGCCCCAAAGCCCCAAAGCCCCAAAGCCCCAAAGCCCCAAAGCTCCTAAACCCTAAACCCTAAACCCTAAACCTTACACCCTAAACCTAAACGCTAGGGGCCCACCAGCTGCCGTGCCTTGGGTGCGTCACTGCAGGGTGCCGCCTCAGGGGCGCAGGGGGTACTATAGAGGGTAGCCCTAAACCCTAAACCCTAATCCCTAATCCCTAAAGCCTAAACCCTAAACCCTAAACCCTAAACCCTAAATCCTAAACCCTAAACCCTAAACCCTAAACCCTAAACCCTAAAGGGGAACCCATGACTCCAAAGCCCAAACCCCCAAACCCCTAAACCCTGATTCAACCCTACCGACCGAGTTTACCTACAGATTTTAAGGGTTCTACCTACTAAATACGGGGGCACTTCCTACTAATCTGTAAGTAAATAGGGTTTCAGGTAACCCTAGTCGTAGGGTAGTTTCATGGCTCCTTAGTAGATGGGCCCTTAACAAGGGGACTCCTTATGTACCCCTTTTATACCCTTTACAACCCAAGGGCCCAAACATCAGCAGAACTCTTTAAAGCTAACTAGGGACCATGCAACTACCCCAAGAGCAAGACTAGACCCCAAGAGCAACCAAGGAATAAAAAGGGTGCCTTTTGTTTGGGGTTTAAAGGGGCTTGTAAAGGGAAACCTGAACCCTGAACAAAAGGGAACAAGGGCCCACTCGGGGTCCTAGTAAAACCCCCTAAACACCCAAGGAATCAACGGAGGGCTTATTTTGTGACATGTCTGGGGCGGCGGTTTGTTCGGCTTGATAACCCTAAGCCCTAAGCCCTAAGCCCTAAGCCCTGAGCCCTGAGCCCTGAGCCCTAAGCCCTCAGCCCTGAGCCCTCAGCCCTCAGCCCCAAGTTCTGAGCCCCGGTGAAGCCCTGAACCCTAATTTGAGGGTCTTAGGGTTTAGGGTTTAGGGTTTAGGGTTCCGGGTTCCAGGGTTTTAGGCTTCAAAGGCTTCCTGCGAGCATCACCGAGCCTCGCATCTCGCAAGGTCCAGGGAGGTCCACTCCTTAAGTAGAAGTTCGGGTTTAGGGTCTAGGGTCTAGGGTCTAGGGTCTAGGGTCTAGGGTCTAGGGTTTAGGGTTTAGGGTTTAGGGTTTAGGGTTTAGGGTTTAGGGTTAAGCACTGGGGTTTGGGAATTAGGGACACTGGAGGGCCTGGAAGTGGTAACTTAGTAGGCTTTATGTGTCTTCAGTGCTTTAGGGCTTTTCGGGGTATGCCTGAACCCCAAGCCTCTACCTCCGAAATTCGAAGTGCCCTGAAGGAGTCGGAGCATGCTCGGAACCCAGAATTGCACCCCGAAAGCCGAAGCCAGCTGATCTGCAACCTAAACACTAGCTTGTGAAACATTTGTCGCGAGTGTTAAAGCTGCTTTTTTTTTGGGCGATTTTTGAAAATCCAATGATGACAGATAGACCGACATGTGATGAAGCAAAGCTATACGGATAAAATGGGTTCACCAAGTCAATACAAATACTAAATCAGTTTAATAGAACTAAAACCCTAAAACCCTAAACCCGAAATCCGAAACCCTAAACCCTTCCCTGTGCTCGGCTGGGTCATGGGCGCCTTTGATGCACTCGGGGTAGCCGGCAGCCTAGGTAGGCGAAGCACTAATTCCCGCCGCTTGATATGACTCTGACAATGGAGTATTGCATTTCTTGTAGAGGCGGAGGCTTCAAGCTTCGGGCGGTTAGTGGATGTCAGGCAACATCACAACTGCCCCCAAGTCTCGAAGCCCTGAACCCTAAACTTGCGGGTTTAGTAGGGAATGCCAGAAACAGGTACCCCATCCATTCCTTGTGAGGGGACCCAAGTCCGAATTTCCATGCCCGAAACCCAAGCACAGACCAGAGCATCATTGCCACCGGACCCCCAACCCGACCCATGAACCTAAACCCTAAACCCTAAACCCTAAACCCTAAACCCTAAACCCTAAACCCTAAACCCTAAACCCTAAACCCTAAACCCTAAACCCTCTGCCACAATGGAACCCCCGAGCCGCCCCGCGTTGTTTTTAAGGTTTTGGTGTCCAGACTCCCCAGGAAACTATAGGGGAAAGAGGGCTGAGGGTTGAGGGTTTTAGGGTTTTAGGGTTTAGGGTTTAAGGTTTAGGGCAAAGAGGGCCCCCTGGTTCTGGCTGGTTCTTCGTAGGGAATGAGGGAATGAGGGCCCTACATATACCCTTTAAGGGTTCTTTCAGGGTTAAGATGTACAAGCACAAACACACCAAGTCGTACCCGACAAGAAAGAATGGAGTATGAGTCTCTAAGTAGGAGCAACTAGGCGCACGTTTTGAACCCACGTGCCTCAGAACTCCGCACCATGCTAAGGGACGAGCCGTCTTCGCTTCGTGGCAGGTTCTGAAAGCAGTAGCGCGGCTTCAGCGTGGCTACCATCTGCGAACATGCGGGAGGTCAGGGCGTCATTGGCCACATGCTTGTCCGCGCCGGCTTGCATCAGCAAGCGCACGACTTCCACATGGCCATTGGCAGTTGCCATCGTCAAGGCTGTTTTGCCATTCTTGGCCGCCACGTCCTTGTCGGCGCCAGCCTCCACCAGCAAACGCACGACTTCAACGTGGCCATCGACAGCCGCCATCATGAGGGCTGTTGTGCCGTTGTTGGCGCCCATGTCCTTGTCAGCGCCAGCCCCCACCAGCAAACGCACCACTTCAACGTGGCCATTGCCCGCTGCCATCATCAGGGCTGTCATGCCACTGTTTGCTCCAAGGTCCTTGTCAGAGCCAGACTCCTCCAGCAAACGCACGACTTTAGCATGGCCATTGGCAGCTGCCGTCATCAGGGCCGTCATGCCGTCATAGGCAACCGCGTGCTGGTCACCGCCAGCCTCCACCAGCAAACGCACGACTTCAACGCGGCCATTGCCCGCTTCCATCATGAGGGCTGCGTTGACATCGGCGCCGGCCTCCGCCAGCAAACGCACAACTTCAACATGGCCATTGGCAGCTGCATGTAACAGTGGCGAACGACCAGGCACCTTGGGTCCCAAACACTGGGCCTAGGGCTTAGGGTTTAGGGTTTAGGGTTTAGGGTTATGAATTCCCCATCGAAGAGAATTAAACGGACAAAAGGCCTCTTGAGGTTCTTTTCAACCCCCTGTACCCAAAACCAGCCCCCGACAGCCCTAAGCCCTATAGCACCACAAGCCTTTCATGTAGAACCCTAAACCCTCAAGCTAACCCTAGACCAAATCCAAAATCCCCCCTGCTTAGAAGCTCTTTTGACTTAGCATTTCTACTTAGTACCCCTTGCAAATGGTATTCTACTCCCCGGAACCCACCTTACTAACCCTACTTACTAAGTCAAAAGGGCTTCCAAGTCCTAAACCCTAAACCCTAAACCCTAAACCCTAAGCCCTACCCCCAAACCCCAAACCCTCAATCCTAATCCTAAACCCTCAATCCTAATCCTAAACCCTAACCCCTATCTTCATTTAGGCCCGTGGTACGAACACACTGGGGTCCAGGGGCAGCTGCAGCATGGACTCGACCTACAGGCTTCCGGTGCTTAGGGGAGTCCTGCGGTCCTCACTGTGGGCTTAGGGCTTAGGGCTTAGGGCTTAGGGCTTAGGGCTTAGGGTTTAGGGTTTAGGGTTTAGGGTTTAGGGTTTAGGGTTACAACGACGGGTAGCAACGATGATGCCGATGACGATGCTGATGACGATGATGATGATGGTGATGGTGATGGTGATGATGATGCTGATGCTTGTGAGGAGGAGGAGGAGGTGAGAGGAGGAGGTGAGAGGAGGAGGTGAGGGGAGGAGGTGAGGGGAGGAGGTGAGGGGAGGAGGTGAGGGGAGGAGGGGAGGAGGAAACCGGTCATGAACATGAAAGCGCAAAAAAGCGCAACTACTGTCACTACTGTCTTCAGATTGAAGCTTCAAACAGAATATTTTGAATATTATTCACCGCTGATGCTGTAAGCGCCCGCCTGTTGCACTAAACCGTCTCCAGCGGCGGCTCTGAACTCGTACACTTGCTGCACGGAAGCGTTGCAGAAAGGAAGCACGACCAGTTCAAGGTCCTGTGGAGAAGCGAGCTCGTCAGCATCGTCTAGACTCGCGCCGTTGAGAACGAGCCTCTGCCGGAAGCGAGGGGGAAGGCCGTGTTGCTGGTGCAAAAGACGCTTCACTTCCCTCACGCTGATGACCTCCTCCACAGGCACGGCCGCCAACTCTGCACCGGACATCATGCAAATGCGTAACATTCTGGATGGAGAAGCGGTTCTTGAATCAAACTTTCTGAACTGACTAATCATTCAGAGCCGACATTCCTGCGAATCAAGATGCTTCATTCTCGCGTGAACCCCAACAGCACATGAGCTGTGACTCTACATCACACCTAGAGGGTCCTAAGTACCTATATGGGGACACTCACCCAAACCATAATCGTAATTCCGATAATAGAAACCCGATTTTGTACTATGTAGGTACGTAGGACCCTTTGGGACATAGATTCCCTCAGCACCCCGTAGCGTTGGATCTGCGCAAATCAAGCAGGGGGTGCATGTGCACCACAGGTGAGGACGGCTTCTACAAGACCCTCAAGATACCAAGCCTTAAACCCTAAACCCTAAACCCTAAACCCTCGAACCCAAAACTCGGTCAGAGCCTTGGAGCTATGAAGCCCCTTGTAGGGTTTAAGGATTCAGGGTTCAGGGTCCTGTTCTGACCCTAAGAGATCCTTCCTATTTAGTAGGTAGCCCTAAACCCTAACCCGCAGGAAAACGAATTTTGGAGCCCTACAAACACTCCCATATCTGCATCGGGACCGCCATCCGTGGCACACGAATTCCGAACTCCAGTCCCATATCTCAATTCTCCCTGACGTTCCAAATCTCACCCCCGCTCCAGGAACTAAAAACAAAATGAATACGCAACATTTTTTAACAAATGCCAGATTAAGCAACAAAGAACAAGACACTATAAGAAACCCTAAATACCTCTCTTCCAGCCCGAAGGCAGTACCCTAAAGCCTAATTCGAAAACCCTGGCCTTGGATAGACTCTCTAGACCCAAGAGCAATTACGAGCACAAAGGTGCCTTTTTTGGTTTAGAGGGGTTATAAGGGAACCTAAACCCCACACAAAAGGGATAAGTCTGTGCCCTGACTCTAAGGCTCAGCAGTCAACTCATAGCTACCCACGCATACTCCGCCTTTCACGGTGGCTGTCACATGGGTTTTGGGATTTGGGGAGGGCCCCCCGCAAATCTCTACCCCACCCTAAACCCTTTGAAACCCTAAACCCTCAACCCTAAACTCAAAACTCTAAACCGATCTAAGGCAAAGGCCACGAAGCCGCCACGGCACTCAAAACCTGGGCAGGGATCCAGCCCACAAGCCAAGCTGAGCAACATCTGGTGATTGTTTTGAGTTGGGGTGAAGGGTTTTTAGGGTCCAGGGCTTAGGGTTTAAGATCCCCTTGCAGGTACATCTTACAGGACCCCTCACGACAAGAGCCCCGCAAAGGGAAGCAGGTTTAGATTGCTCCTAAACCCTAAACCCTAAAGCCTAAACCCTAAACCCTACACCCTAAACCCTACTGACCCTCTTGGTGTAAGTATCCTAGAATTAGAGAGTATACTTTCAGCAGCCCCGGGCAGGGGCCAAAAGCTTGATAAGCCGGCACATGAGGCGTGCAGATCTTTGTCGTCCATGGATGAAGCCTAAAATATTGGGCATTTTGAACCCTAAACCCTAAACCCTAAACCCTAAACCCTAAACCCTAAACCCTAAACCCTAAACCCTAAACCCTAAACCCTAAACCCTAAACCCTAAACCCTAAACCCTAAACCCTAAACCCTAAACCCTAAACCCTAAACCCTAAACCCTAAACCCTAAACCCTAAACCCTAAACCCTAAACCCTAAACCCTAAACCCTAAACCCTACCTAAACCCTAAACCCTAATCCCTAAACCCCAAGCCGGCTCATCTGGTTTGCAGGGTCGAGCTACAGCAGGGTCCTTTTTCCCAGCAGGGGATCTAAAGCCGTGCCGCCGGCGCAGGGTCGATGTTGCTGCGTGTTCCCTTCCTGGGTTGGGCCAGTCCAACCCTCGAACAAAAACTGTTTTAGGGCCTTTTAGGGTTTATGGCTTTTAGTGCTTAGGGTTTAAATGGGTTCAAGGGATGAACATCCCCCGAAACCCGAGCGGAGGCAAGTGGATGTAAAAGAAGTCCTTCCAAGACCCCCTCTGCCCAGCTTCCATCGGTGGCTTGCCAGCAGAACACAGTTCTTGGCACCCAATACGGCCATCTCCATGGCGCTGGCAGTCTCCTCTACCATTCGCTTAGGAACCTCCCCCCCCCCCCCAAAAAAAAAAAAAAAAGTCCCTGTATTCCCCTTATAAGGAAGAATGTTTTCTGTGGGTTCTTAAGCAAGTAGTAGTCCTCGATGGCGTTGCAATAATAGAGGCCGGCCCCATCCAAGCAAAAGTCGGTGTCCTTGGACTTGGCATCCCTCACCTCGTACTTGGGGTAGGCCCACCATCCGAAGGTTTCGCACTTCCTTACTGCTGGTTAGCAGGGAGGGAATGAGGTACCCTATCTAATCCCTTAAAGGGTACACATAGGGGGAGATAGGGTACCTCATTCCCAACTAACCGAAAGTAAGCTTCTGGGCATTGGGGAAGAGCTCCTTCGACTGCTCCTCCGTCAAGGGAGCAGGAGAGAAGACCTTCCAAATCAGCTTGCCATCCCCCCTCCGGGAGCTATTGTGCAGCCCGATGCTGTTGAATCCCTGGCCGGTGCTGCTCCTTGTCTGGCTTGGCCCTAAACCCTAAACCCGAAACCCCAAAAACTAAACCCTAAACCCTAAGTGACTGGGATCGAATACCAACCCTCAACTGTCAACCCTGTCCAGAACAGTCTCCACACGAAGCCCTGTTTGGGGCCTACACGGGCCTAAAGTCACCATACTTGGGGGGTTTACGAAACAAAGGGGCTCCAATATAGATCCACAAATACTAAAATGTCCTGATACTCAGGACCGCACTAAGGTACCCTAATTTCGAAAACCCCCATGTAGGCAGCTCTGAGACGGGTTATAAGAATGGGCAACTCTACTTATGACCACCATTTTGGGGTACTTATAACCCTACTTATAATTTCCCATGAGTCTCCAAGTGAGGCCTAAGCAGTTCCTAAAGTAATCATAGATGGTTGCAACACCACCAAGACCTGAGACCCTCTTTACCTGCAGTTTACTAGTCACTACCCTTCATTAGTAGGTATAACCCACAAAACAGTAAGTAAAGAGGGTCCCAGGGACAACCAAGCTTCAGAAGTATGCCCGGCACAGGGCCAGAACTGCCCAGGGCCTTGGCATCAGGCGGGGCATCGAAGAAGGTCGCGTAGATTCTCTGGTAAAGCCTTGCGGGATGACATTGCGTCCCTAGACCCTAAACTCCCTACTCCCTAAACTCCCTAAACCCTAAACACCCTAAGCCCCAATTAAGCCCTAAGCTGCCCTAAGCCCTAAGCCCTAAGCCCTAAGCCCCAAGCCCTTTTACTCAAGGAACGAGGGCTGGAGGGAGACGGTGCTGGGGAGCTGTAGAGCCTGCCCGTCCTGCAGTGGCGCGGCCAAGAACACCTGCAGGCGAGGGCTGAGTTTCTTGTATTCTCAATGGGAGGCAGGGTTAGGGCGCCACAAGATTTCAAGGGTTTACTTTTGTTCATTGAAGGGGAGTGTAAGGGTGTTGCTATGGTGTTAGTGTCTAGCTGTTTTTTTGTGTGTGTGTGGATTGGTTTCGAACTGTAGTGCTCTTGAGGAGGTGTGTCATGTGGCTTTAGGGTTCAGGGTCTTTAGTCTTTGTGTGCGCTTTGCCCAGGCGGATGGGGTACGATTGTTAGTGTCTTTTGGTTCAGTGTTTGTTTGTTTTGGCACAAAGGGGGTTTAGAGGTGTCATATATACATATATACACACACATACATCTGTATATGGTTTTAGCCCTTGCTTACCATTTCTTGGGTTGATCTGAATTTGGGTTTCCTTTCGACCCCATGTGTCGATCATCTTGATATGGGATTCCGGACTCACAGAAAGGTGACCTATAAAAAGGGGGCAACCAGAATTCCGAACAAGCCCGCCCCAATGAGGGCCCTAAGGCGCAAAGATTTTCAAGGGTTAGGGTGTAGGTTTTGGGGTTTTTAGGGTAGGGTTCAAGACACCAAGTCGTAGTCACCAAACATAGTCTCCGGCTCCCCCACGACGTCCGCATGAAGCCGGTAGCGACTCCTGCGCGACGCTCAACCCGACACTCTGACTGCGCCTAGGAGTGTGTGTGGGGGGGGGTCGGGTTTAGGGACTAGGCTGTGTGTGTGTGTGTATTTTTTAGGCTAGTCCAATATGGAAATGGATTTGGCTCTCCTTACAGACACAGCACACATACATTTACACATTTACACATTTATACATTTACACATTTCCGCATATCCACATATACACCCGTACACACATACACACGTACACATGCACAAACACACACGCAGATAAGCCATCCTCCGCGAGAAGGTAACGCAACGCGCACAATGCTTCACTACTTCTGATGCAACGATCAGCATCCTGTCTCATCAGAGGTATTGCTGCGACTCAGATCAAAAGATTATGACTGTCGACCATGCACCATAAGAGTTCAAAGATGTCACAAGCTATGAAACTCTTTTGCAGACTTGCAGGTACATGCCAAGGCGCCCCTTAGCACTTCCCCCTTGCTCACTAGCTTCGTTGGGCGCAGTCATGAGCAAGGGCTGCGCCCCCCTGCACGAAATTATGTACAGTTTCAGCTTTAAACCGGACTTGCTCTGACAATGCTTGTACGGATCTGCGGGCCGTCTTGCAACTGACTTCAACTTACTCTGTAGGTCTTGCTGTTTGCATGAAAGTGTGGCACATCTCATGGATGAGCGGCTGATTCGCACCGCACTGCTGTCACATCTGGTTTTCTTCTGTGCGGATTTTTTGGCAGCACTGCTGGTTTTGTCCTATATCTCAAGGCTGCACACACACACACACACACGCCCCTTCTGGAATTGGGGGCCAACATCTATCCACCAAAGTATGACTGTCCCGCATCAACTGAGTCAAGGAAGGAGCCAACAATTGCAACTATCTCGCATCAACTGAGTGAACGATGGGGCGAAAAGTAAAGAGCCTGAGAAGGGCCTGGATACTGCATACACCGTTCAACAAACACGCGAAAACACGTATGTAAGTATATCCAAAACTCGGGGCAGAGAAGGGTCTGGATACCCCACAGACACTAGAGTGCAGCTTAAAACGGACGCTAGAAACAACGTTGATTGCATTGCACAGAAGAACAGGAGGAGTCCGAGCGTCTCGAGTAGGGTCATCACAGTATGCCAAGGTGGAAAGGTTGGGTTGCAAGGAAAGAGAACTGTGCTTCGACAACCCTAGACATTGTTGTCAAAGCTTTTGAAGTACGCACCCAGAGCTAAACACGGCTACAACCGCACGCTGTGTTCCCAACATGGCCTAGCTGACTCTACAGAGAAAGTGTTTTGCATGGTGCTTTAACCAAAACCACCAGTGAAGAACAACTAGACTAAAAAATATGAAGTTGTTGCATCTGTAACAAGTGGCGGACACTGCCTTTATGTGTGCAGACAAATGCACGAAGGTCAGGAACGCGCTGTGTCGGGAGACGTTCTGTTATTTCACCTGGCGCTTTAACCCCAAACTGCCGAGATTGTGTCAGCGCCATCAAGCATGTGATACTTGCGTCAAACAGCAATGCCGAAGTTCGTACCACTCCCCTGGCTTTGGGACGGTTGCTTTTTCTGGTGCAAAAACCAACTCCGCATGTCAAACTGCGCTGTTTAAACAAAAAGTTGCAGACGAAACACCATGAGCACAGCTAGGTAGCTAGCGCAAAACCAAAAAAAGCCAAACGAAAAACGACATTGTCTTGACACTGAATGGCGTGTAGCGCATGCCCCCAAACAAGCTCAAGACAGGCCACAAACTTGCTCCAGCAGATTTGTTCGTAGTAGTGACATCAACTGCTGCGCACAATGTCGAACCAGTACGTTCAAAAAACTACTCTGCAGGCCGTTTGACCTTCGAGAGCATGCGATCACAAATAGGTTTGAAGAGTTGACTACTATAGCCAAACTTGATATACATGTGAAACAAGCGCTCAATGTCTTCTGCAACATGTTCGAGTGGAAGTGTGTGCTGTAGGATCACACACACACATGAAGCAATCCAACCCTGTGAGCTCTATGAACCCTAAACACATCCAAGCGCCAGATTATAGGCGGGGGGGGGGGGGGGGGTGTTTCATTAGAGTTCGCTTTTTCGAACAGTTTATGCTCGGTTCATATGGGCATTATGAGGGGATACTATTTGTAATATTGATACTACTGCTAATATCATTCATGGTACTAAGATTACTCATATGGCTAATCGTACGAGTATTACTAAAATCACTTATACTACTAATATCACTACTAATTGTCTTAGAACTCCTAGTATTCCGCATATAACTTTAGCTAAGCTCTAAACCCTAAACCCGAAACTCTCTAAACCCTAAACCCTAAACCCTAAACCCTAAACCCTAAACCCTAAACCCTAAACCCTAAACCCTAAACCCTAAACCCTAAACCCTAAACCCTAAACCCTAAACCCTAAACCCTAAACCCTAAACCCTAAACTAATACTGGGACTCTTGGCAACTATCCACCCCGGAGCCCTGAAGTCCGCGGCTCCCGGCGACTTCCACTCGCCGAATGGCAGCCTGTCCTTGGAGGTTTTTACTGAATCCTACAAAAGGGTTTAGGGTTTAGGGCTAGGGTTTAGGGCTTAGGGTTTGGGGTTTAGGGTTTTAGGGTTTAGGGTTTGGGGTTTACAGTTTGCGGTTGAGGCTTGCCAACCTTTCATAGGACTTTCACATGAGAGTCGTTCATTGAGTCCCCTTTGCGGGTATCAAGTACCCAGAAGCCAAAGAGAAATCCCAACCCCTTGCAACCCGGAACTCGAGACCCTGAAAACTACGGCACCCTAATGCCCGCTTAGGGGCACCTGAAGTAACCTAGCACGTGCCTGATTTCTTGGCCTTTTTCAACTGTAGGTTACTCAGCTCTAAACGCCTCTACCCTAAATCTCAAATCCTAAACCCCTAAATCCTGAAATCCCATTATCCATATCAGCATACTTAGAAGCTCCTTTGACTTAGTAAGTCTACTTAGTAGCCTCTGGAAACCCGTTTACAATCTCCATAACCCACCGTTCTAACCCTACTAAGCCAAAAGGGCGTCCAAGTAATGATTCCCTTTTTTGAGGGTTGGCTACTTCATAAGGAAAGCTAAACCAAACACAAAAAAAGTGGCAACAGGGTACCACTGGGCTACGTGACAAGAATCCCTAAACCCCAACCCCTAAACCCTAAGCCCCAAAACGCTAAAACGCTAAACCCTAAACCCAAAACCCAAAACCCAGGAATCCCTAAACCCAAGAATCCCGAAACCCAAGAACCCCGAAACCCTAAACCCTGAACCCGAGGTTCGAAGGATGGCGCCAGAGGATTCCAGGATCTTCGACGCCAGCGCCTCTTGCCAGAGTTGCCCGAAATGAGGGGTGTAGGGGGTTTAGCGCTTTAGGGTTTTGGGTTCAGGGCTTAGGGGTCTAGGGGCATAGAGGTTTGTTTTTGTTTCTTTTTTTCGGGGGGGGGGGGGGGGTAGGGTTTAGGGTTGAGGGTTTACGGCTTTGGGGCTTCGGGGCTTAGGAGTTTCGGGGGCTTGGGGTTCTCGCGTTGAGGGCTTTGATGGCTTTAAGATCTTGAATACTTTAGGGGTTTAGGGTTTGAAGGGCTCTTCGTGGTTCAAGGTTTAAGGTCAGTCATCAAACTTCAACTAGCCAAACAGGCTGTTTGCACTAAATCCTGTAACCACGATCCTAAACCCTAAAGGGTTTAGCGCCAGAGCTTATTTCAAACACCTAGTCGACACATGGCCCTTACATCTGTGGAATCCGATCTTGCTACTATAGCTTCCGCAGTGACCTGAACATGTCCCCTAGGCTTTCTGGTTTCGGGGCCCTTCGCCCTAAGCCCTAAACGTACACGGGGTGCTTTGTTTTGTTGGTTTCGAGGGCTTGGAAAGGAACCTGACTACTAACACTACGAGAGGGAATGAGGCTAGTGATGGGCATCCTGCTCGCGACGCTGCCGGGGCAATAGGGGGCCTCCATCCTAACGAGAAGGGATAGGGTTTAGGGTTTAGGGTTTAGGGTTTAGAGTTTAGGGTTTAAGGTTTAGGGTTTAAGGTTTAGGGTTTAGGGTTTGGGGCTGTGGGCTTTGCGCTTTGGGTAAATGCCCAAACCGCAAACCGAAACTTTAAGCGCTAAACCCCATAATTATGACAATGGGGCCAAGCCCGTTCAAGCCTGAACAGCCAAGCAAACCCTAAACACCCTACAGACCCTGTAAGCCTGTAGGCTAAACCCAACCTGAACCTCTAAACCTAAACCCTAACAACCCTCAAGGGCCTAAACCCCATAAACCCGATAAACCTACAAACCCTATACACACCCTAGAAACCCCATTAAACCTACAAGCCCTATTAAACCCTATAGTCACCTAGACCCTATAAACCCTACAAACCCGAAAAAACAAAACAAATAAAAACGCACAAACCCTCCAAAAACTACAACCCCTAAACCCTCTCCACCCTGAAACCCTACAAACCCTACAAACCAAGCTGGTTGCCTACCCTCCACACCCTCTGCAGCCTACAACCCCTACAAACCCCCAAAACAACCCCAGAACCCATAAACGATCACCCCTGAAAGCTCCGCACACCCCAAACCCCAAACCCCAAACCCCAAACCCCAAACCCCAAGCCCCAAGCCCCAAGCCCCAAGCCCCAAGCCCCAAACCCCAAACCCCAAACCCCAAACCCCAAACCCTAAACCCTCCCGACCCAGCCTGGTTGCCGCCCTCCACGGCCCAGAGTGGGCCCTGGGAGCCGCAGAGCGCCACGGCCCCAACGAAGGCGCCGATTTCGAGGCCTTGGCCGTAGTTGACGCGGACCATGCCACTGGCCTCAGGGTCTAGAGGGATTACAGAGGGGGTTTAGGGTTTAGGGTTTAGGGCTTAGGGCTTAGGGTTTAGGGTTTAGGGTTTAGGGTTGCCGCTCACCTCAGGGTCTTCACCTGGGACCCTATTTACCTACGGTTTGGTAGGAAGTACACCTATTGACTACGAAAAATCTCTTCGCTATAAGGGAGCTCATACAAGGATTAGCAGTACTGAGGAACCTTAGCATGTCGGTTCTCCGGGGCTACAGGTTTTAATCCTAACCTGAACTGGTTTACGGCTTGGGGAAATAGGAGAGCCTTAATACTTAAAACAGGGTCTTGGGGGCTGTTATAGTATAGATATTTAGAGACCCTACGGGAATATCACCCTAATTGAACCTTAAAGCCTAAACCCTAAACCCCAAACCCTAATCCCTAAACCCCAAACCCTAAACCCTCAACCCCAAACCCTAACCCCGAACCCTAAACCCCGAACCCTAAACCCTAAACCCCAAACCCTAAACCCTAAACCCGAAACCCTAATATTCTGGAATTTAGGGGTTTAGGAGGCCGCGCCAGCTCTTGGATCAGCCGGCGATCGAAGCCGTCCCGGTTCAGCCGCTCCTCCAGCGTCTCATCCTTAGGTTCTAAACGTGGGATACGGTCTTTTTTTAAACCCTAAACCCTAAACCCTAAACCCCAAACCCTAAACCCTAAACCCTAAACCCTAAACCCTAACCCCAAACCCGGGTGATAAAGGGGGGGGGGGGGGGAGGGTGGTGGGTGGTAGGGGAACCCATGACCAAGGATCCAGCATCTGGGAAAACCGGCTGTCCAAGGATGCCAGAAGTCGCCGGGGCGTGCTGAAAGCCTTGCCTTGGGACGCGATGTGGGACGCAGGTCATTCCTGGGTTAGGGTTTAGGGTTTAGGGTTTAGGGTTTAGGGTTTAGGGTTTAGGGTTTAGGGTTTAGGGTTTAGGGTTTAGGGTTTAGGGTTTAGGGTTCAGGGTTTCGGGTTTCGGGTTTAGGGTTTCGGGTTGAGGGTTTAGGGCTCGGGCTTAGGGTTTCCCTTGGTATGGGCCCTTGAAAGGGGACCCCGTATGTACCTCTTCCAAAACCCTATACAAGAATACTTTAAAGAAGGTAAGGGACCACACCAAGGGACCATGTAACTGCCCGAAGAGGTGAATAAGGCACTGAACTCCCCAAGTGAGTTCCTTAAACCCTAAAACCCTAAACCGCAACGCCCTAAAGCCCCAACACCCGCCCCTAAAAACCCAGAAGCCCTAAACCCTAAATCCGACACCCTAAACCCTAAACCCTAAACCCTAAACCCTATAAACCCTAAACTCTAAACCCTAAACCCTAAACCCTAAACCCTAACCCTAAACCCTAAACCCTAAACCCTAACCCCCCTATACCCCCAAGCCCGCCTTCCTTCTGCAGACGGTACACCTGCTCGAACTTCTTGAGGAAGCCACTCACCCAGCGATCGAGTCGGAGGGGGCCAAGCCCATAACCTCGGGGACCAAATCCAAATACGGTTTAGGGTTTGGGGTTTGGGGTTTAGGGTATAGGGTATAGGGTTGAGGGTTGAGGGTTGGGGGTTTAGGGTATAGGGTTAGGGGTTTAGGGTTTGGGGTTTCACAGTGATCCTAACTAAAAAACCCTTTTCAGGGCCATTTCGTCTCCCAAGGGGCGCCAGAGCATCCGGGCCAAAGTCACTGCTCGCCTGTCGCTGGTCTCAAAGAGCCTCGGGGGAGAAAGATGCTTTGGGATTTGGGGTTAAACAACTTGGGGTTCAGGGTTTAGGGTTAGGGCTTAGGGTTTAGGGTTTAGGGTTTAGGGCTTAGGGTTTAGGGTTTAGGGTTTAGGGTGGACCCTTAGCAATTCGGGATCATCGTCCTGAAGGGCCAGGACTTCCCTACATTCTCATCCCAGCTCGCTTCTACTAAACCCCCCCAAACCCCAAACTTCCAACCCCAAACCCTAAACCCTAAACCCGAAACCCCAAACACCAGCCTGAAGCTCATAGTTCCTCTTAAGGGCCCCCCCCCCCCCCCCCCCACCCAAAAGGGCCTCCGAGGGGCAAGTCCCGCCCGTCGTGCAGACCCAGGCGTGTCTCCACCGGCTGCAGCTGCCCAAGCCCAAACTCTGCCGCAAACTCCACGAGGTAGCGATTCCTGATTGGGCTTTTGGCGTTTTTTATAGTTCTTTTTTTGCATGGGCTGTGTAGGGTTTATAGTGTTCATAGGGCTTGTAGGGCTTACAGGGTTTACAGAGTTTAAAGGGTTTATAGGTTTTAATCGGATTTATAGGGCGAATTGTAGAGTTTGTAGGGTTGATACAGGGTTAGGGTTTGTAGGGCTTATACAGCTTGCAGGTAGGGTTTATAAGGCGTATGGGGTTTACAGGGTTTTATAGGGTTTATAGAGTTTATAAGGTTTGTACGGTTTATGATGGTTTGTAGGGTTATAAAGATTGTCGGTTTATGATTCAGGGCTTAGGTTTTTCAGGCCATGCAGCAGTTACTGAGGGACTATATGGGTTTCTACTATTTGATTAAGAACCCCCCCCCCTACATAACCCCTCTTAGGAGGAATATTTTTTGTGTTTGGGGAGGTTCTCAAACACATAGTAGGTTTAGGATTTTAGGACTATCGGGCTTCAGGCGCTTTCAGTTTCATTCAGAATATACCCGCCCCCCCTCCCCCAGACCGCAGAAACCCGTTTACGTAGATTTGAGGCTTTATGGGGGCGGTGCTCCCCCCAGGTACTGCTAGGAAGATCCTGACCCTATGAACAGCAGTTGATGACATTTTAGCAACACGTGGCAGATGTTCCGGCTCTGATCTGGCAAGGCGCTGCAACCATCTATATTCCTATGACCAGGTAAGGCCCGACCCGGCGACCAACAACAGTCATCGAGTAACCTTACGCCCTAAACCCTAAACCCTAAACCCTAAACCCTAAACCCTAAACCCTAAACCCTAAACCCTAAACCCTAAACCCTAAACCCTAAACCCTAAACCCTCGCCCTAAACCCTAAACCCTAAACCCTAAACCCTAAACCCTAAACCCTAAACCCTAAATCCTAAACCCTAAACCCTAAACCCTAAACCCTGAACCCTCAACCCTAAACCCTCAACCCTAAAACCTAAACTTTGTCGTTTGCGGCTTGGGATGCCACAATCCGGTGGCACCCCCTTCCCCCCCCCCCCCACACACAATAAAAACATATTCTTCCTGAAAAGGGAAATATAGGGATTCTAACCCTAAACCCTAAACCCTAAACCCTAAACCCTAAACCCTAAACCCTAAACCCTAAACCTAAAACCCTAAACCCTAAACCCTAAACCCCAAACCCTAAACCCTAAATAGGGGTTCTTCAGCAGCTAGTAGAGCAGCGGCTCTGGATGTGGATGATGGAGGCGCCAGCTTCGTAGGAGCTACCAGCATGGTGGAAAAGGCGAGCCCGGCCGCCCACATGAGCAGACTTCTCAAAGACCTGGGTTTAGGGTTTAGGGTTTAGGGTTTTGGGATTAGGGTTGAGGGTCTGGGGTTGAGGGAGGGGCGCGGGTTAAGTTGAGTAACCCATGATCCCACAACCCGAACCCCCACCCAAAACGGAAAGCCCTAACTACCTTTTGCTTAAGACCCCCCCAAAAAAAACAAAAGTATTCGTCTCTATATTGCCCTTATGAGGAAGAACATTTTTTGGGGGGGGTTCTTCAGCAACTAGCAGCTAAACCCTGAGCCCCAGATTACATGGATGCCTGTAAGATATTAGGTTCAGACTTCGAAGGGCTTGGGGCGTTCAGGGAGCCGGGGCACGGGCTACCGAGCAGGGTGAGGAGCGGGGTTTGCTTCGGGTTCAGGGTTCAGGGTTCAGGGTCAGGGTTCAGGGTTCAGGGTTCAGGGTTTAGGGTTCAGGGTTCAGGGTTTAGGGTTTAGGGTTTACATTTGGGTTGTTGGGGCCGCGTTGGATTTGAAAAGATTTCCTCAGGAGTAGGCGTCCCAATAATCCCAAATATCTGCGTCAACGGCTCTTGATTATCACTCACTTTAAACATGGAATGCATACGTTGCATTCCCGTCATTTATGTTTTCGTGTTTTAAATAATGTTTCAAATAAATATGAATCATTTGAATAAATATTGCAGCAGTCGCTTGCCCATATATTCTTAAAACCAAAATCAAAATGCTTTATGCAAAATTCATCAATAGTTTGCATACTACCAGATCCTAGTTGATCCAAATGGAAATAATTAATAATCAAAATGAAAGAGATTCGAATCAAAACGACAGGGTTGATGCCAATAATGAGGATGATGAGGATAATGGCAATTTAAGGTTTCGGGATCAGGTTTAGGGTAGAACAAAGCAAAACCCTCATTAACCAGAAACTTGCTTAGACAGTGGGTATACTACGCCCTTGTTAGGGCACATCGACAGATTCGACTCTCAGGGTGGCGACATGGTATCATCATGTGAAGTAGGGTTTATATTCCTGGTTTAGGGTTTAGGGTTTAGGGTTTAGGGTTTAGGGTTTAGGGTTTACTCCGAAGAGCTGTCCGAGCAAGAAGCGAAAATCTAAAGCACACCACGAAGCCGCTCCAAGTCCTTCCCGAGCATATATTCCTGGTATCCCCAAAAGGACACCCAATATGTACACTCACCAATATGAAAAAAGAAGCTGATATACACCCGTCAATAACAGTAATATAATAAACCTTGCTCCATATGGATCCTCACACGGGGACCCCTTAAAACTCCCCTTGTATGGCCCCTTATATACCTTATACAACTTATATACCTTATACAACCCAAGGGCCCATACGTCAGAACCCTTTAAAGAGGGTAAGGGACCATGTTAAGGGACCATGAAACGACCCTTAGATCAACACATCAGTTGCGGACACTCTTAAGCCCGGCACATGGATCTCCGCATCCGGAAACTCCTCCCGACTAAATCTTGCAGCGGCGCAGCCGCCGAAACCGGCCCCAATGACAGCAATCTTCATGGGTTGAGGCTTGAGGGTCAGGCACCCTAAACCCTAAACCCTAAACCCTAAACCCTAAACCCTAAACCCTAAACCCTAAACCCTAAACCCCAAACAGAAAGGTGGCAGGACCAGAGGGCTGACTTTTTTTCAGCTTGCATAGGACGAAGACTTTGGTGGTCAGCTAGACCCTGCCAAGGCCCCAGAAGCCTAAAGCCTAATGGAAACCCTAAGCCCTGAGGAAATCCTAAACTGCAACATCCCCCAAAACCCTAAACCCTAAATCCCAAACCCTGAACCCTAAACCTATATAAACCCCAAATCCTACACCTCACACCCTAATCTGGAAGTCCATCAAACTGAAGACAAGCCAATGGCTGCGCATCAGTGCGATCAGGGACACACCAGGAACACTCAGTTTAGGGTTTAGGGTTTAGGGTTCGGGGTTTAGGGTTTAGGGCTTAGGGTCCAGGGTTTAGGGTCTGGGCTAGCATCGCACGGGGGATGCCATGGCATCAAACTCCCAGCTGACTACCCTGGGCCCAAAACAATGTTAACCTCTCAATTTCGGTAGGATTTGGGGATGTTCCCCCTTCTACTGACCGTCCTTTATGGGGATGGCAGTACCCCCTATTCTAATGCCTACTAAGGACTGTTAGCAAGAGAGTGAACATCCCAAGTAGGATTATAACTCTATTGACCCCAAAAGTTAAAGGTTACCTACTCACTAAGAATTGGATTAGCCGTAGGATGCCGTTGGCGTTTAGGGTGTTTGGTAGGGTTTAGGGTTTAGGGTTTAGGGTTTGGGGTTTGGGGTTTGGGGTTTGGGGTTTGGGGTTTGGGGTTTGGGGTTTGGGGTTTGGGGTTTGAGGTTTGGGGTTTGGGGTTTGGGGTTTGGGGTTTGGGGTTTAGGGTGTAGAGTGTAGGGTGTAGGGTGTAGGGTTTAGGAACCCCAAACCCTCAACCCAAAGTCCTAAACCCTAAGCCCTAGACCCAAAGCCCTAAACCCGAAACCTCCAAGCCCTCCGATGGAAACACATTTACGAGTTGAAAGCCGGAAGACCTTAGGAAGAGCGGCAAGAGGGCTCACGACTTAGGTTTTAAGGCAAGAGCAAGGCGTTTCATCCTCTTGTTTAATGGGAGCCTAACCCTCTAAAACAAGGGCATGAGGGCCTAGCCTGGGCCCAGGATAAACGGCCTGGGAAGTGTTGTTCTGAGTGCTCAGGAGGGCTTGAGAAACTCATCAGATGGGAAGAAGTGGCCTCTAAACCCTCAAAACCCAAAACCCCAAAACCCCAAAACCCCAAAACCCCAAAACCCCAAAACCCCAAAACCCCAAAACCCCAAAACCCCAAAACCCTAAACCCCAAAACCCTAAACCCTAAACCCTAAATCCCATGAACCCAATGACCTCGAGCCCTCAAGTTGGGCTGCCCCGCGGCAGAGTCTTCGGGACTTGATCCCGGCCTAGGAGCTGAGGTTTAGGGTTTAGGGTTTAGGGTTTAGGGTTTAGGGTTTAGGGTTTAGGGTTTAGGGTTTAGGGTTTAGGGTTTAGGGTTTAGGGTTTAGGGCTTCGGGTTTAGGGTTTAGGGTTTAGGGTTTAGGGTTTAGGTTTAGGTCACGGTTCCTTCGGGCTTATCGGGTTTTCGGGTTCAGGGTTTTAAGGCTTCTGACTTCAAAGAATGTCTAACCAGGGTTCAGGGTTTAGGGAATGGTTCTTGGGTGGGGCAAACGAGTCAAATTCTCCTTCCCGGCTACCTAAACCCTAACAAAACCCTAATGTGGCACCTCCTTTAGTGTGCCCCCCCCCCCCCCCCTGGAACAGTCGAGGCTGGATTTTGCCCTCTTTAATGGCCCACGGGATGTTATATGATTTTAATAGGGAGGAGTTTAGATAGATTTAAAAGGGATCCATACGAATTTGAAAGGGATGAGCTTATATGAATTTAAAAGGGAGCCGCGCGAATCGAAAAGGGGTCCGGGATGAGCTTATACGAATCTAAAAGGGAGCCGCGCGAATCGAAAAGGAGTCCGGGATGAGCTTATATGAATTTAAAAGGGATCCATTAGCTTTTTCTAAATTCGGAGCCTCCGGGCCGGGGCCTGGACAATAAAGAGGGTCCCGAATCAGTCCCATTATTGCGGGTCGGAGGGGGCCCCTGGACCACCCACCCCCTTGTCGGATTGAGGGGGACCATTTTTTCAAATAGTTTCCTTAAAAAAAATGTTGGTTTCGGGCCGGTTGGAATGGATGAGGTCGGCCTTTGAAATCCTAAGGCCCGGCTTTAAAATCATAAGACCGGGCTTTAAGCCGGAGCCTCCGGGCCGAAACAAGCCCCAAACCCTTTAAAAGAAATTCCGGATTTCGGAAGCCGTTTGTCGTTAAAGAGGGACTCCCAAACAGTCAGGGTGTCCTGAATAATTCAGCCAAATTGTCTTTAAAGAGGGGGCCGATACTACAGCGGGTGCAACATTAAACCCTAAACCCTAAACCCCTAAAACCTTAAACCCTAAACCCCTAAACCCGTAAACCCTAAACCCTAAACCATAAACCCTAAACCCTAAACCCTAAACCCTAAACCCTAACCCTAACCCTAAACCCTAAACCCTAAACCCTAAACCCTAAACCCTAAACCCTAAACCCTGAACCCTAAACCCTAAACCCTAAACCCTGAACCCCAAACCCTAAAACCTAAACCAAAGCCGCTCAAACCACTGGAGGCGCAAAACTTACATTTAGCACCAAAAAGAGACCGAAGAGAGTTGTTCATGTAGAGGCCTCTTTCAACAGAATGTCATTTTGGGTTTTGCACAGTGGTGTAGTGTTCTCATTTATTCCATGACATTTCAACTTCTTTCGGCTCCGGCATATTTAGTACTTGGAGGGGTTTTAGGGTTGGGCGGGGGGACTTGGGCATTTGGCCGCACTTTGCCCTATACTCTAAGCCCTAGTAGGGCTATCGGGCTGAGGGTGCCTAAACGTTTCTGGCTTTAGGGCTACGGAGCTGATCGAAAACTGACCATGTGATTTAAGTTAGGGCTTAGCAAGGTTTTGGGCTACAGTGGAGGCCTTAGGGTTGTCGGGTACCAGAACAGGCCAGTGAGGGTTTAGGGTTTAGGGTTTAGGGTTTAGGGTTTAGGGTTTAGGGTTTAGGGTTTAGGGCCTAGGGTTTAAGCCTAGGTACCCCCCCCCCCACTTGCAGTTGAGAGCCCCTTTTGATCAAACGGCGCATCTCCGCCTCCCGTAATTAAGTGCCCCAGAGCCGCCATGCGAAGGGCACTCTCGTGGAAGAGTCGGCGTAAGGTAGGGTCTTAGGGTTTTCAACCCTAAACGATAAACAATTCTAAACCGTAAAGTGACACCCTAAACCCTAAACCCTAAACCCTAAACCCTAAACCCTAAACCCTAAACCCTAAACCCTAAACCCTAAACCCTAAACCCTAAACCCTAAACCCTGAACCCTGAACCCTAAACCCTGAACCCTAAACCCCAAACCCAGCCCTGCAACGGCCCAGGACACTGGTCTGCACAATGGGGCTCCTTCGGAGCAGCCCGAGGAAACGTAATGAATTCAAAAGAAAAACAATCAGGCGAAGCCCGCCTTAAGACCTGAAGCACGGATTGAAGGATCTAGGGGCTCAGCTAAACCCTAAACCCTAAACCCTAAACCCCAAACCCCAAACCCCAAACCCTAAACCCTAAACCCTAAACCCTACGTCCTGAACCCTGAACCCGAAAGGGTTTAGGGCTTCGTGGTGAACGTTGGGCTTGTGGCCCTCAAGCCCTTAACGAAAGAACTATTCGCTTGCAAACGCTAAGGAACGACAATCCCTATAGTGCCCTGGTACTAGACCCAATAGTAACCTAGCATCACAAAGGGCCCCCTTGTTGGTGTAAAGGGGCTTTTCAGGAAACAAAACACTCCTAGCATACGGGGAAACATCAGATTTTAGGAGGCTGTAGTAAGCCTAAAGCCTAAAGCCTAAAGCCTAAAGCCTAAACCCTAAACCCTGAACCCTAAAACCTAAACCCTAAACCCTAAACTAAACCCTACGCCGTACTGGTGGAA